TTTAAATTATATTATGATACAGTTTGAATTATACTATGTTATATATTTTGAATTATATTATGTGAAATGCATTTGCAAAATTATCGTCTCAATTATTCCGCGCATCTTCATACACTACATTACACTACATTAATAATATATTTGCGTTAATATTACTACAATTTACTATTCACTTTAATAATCATGAAACCAAATCATAAGATTTTCATACATCGATTACATATCGTTATTATGATTTCATATAATCCTTTGTTAATTCTAAAGCATTAATTAGTCGGGCATTTAATTTTACGCAACGATTATTGTCGTTATTATCATCATCATCATTGCTGCTGTCATTATCATCCTTACAATATCATTCCATGAACGGATCGAAGATCACGATGTCACGGCCAGACGATGCGCGTCATGCGAAATTGAATATCGATTAATCGTCCTCAAGATTCGCTAATGTTGCGCCGGAAGTTAATTAAGCTGCGGTAATTGCGATCTCTCTTGAGCGATACTCACCCGGCTTTCCACTAGTTATATCGCCTTAACGCTATCGAATTGCATCATTAATTTCTCACATTATCTGAAATTAGGATTGATGTTCGTTATTGTTGTACGTGAATTTATTTAGAAAAATACTTTTTGTCTCTGAGATTAAAAAAGGTTACATTATCAGATATACATATTTGAATTAACTGGATTTTATGACTATATTTTCTTGTCTCTATATATATATATATATGTATATTCTCAAATACTTAAATATAAGATGACTTTATTATTGCTCATATAAAGGTATAAAAGTTGATATGCAAAGGTTTAGCGTAGCTCTTTCACGCGCGGTAATAATTTCATAATTTTATCGACATTTTGTTCCATTCGAAATAAAGAAAATTGGCGCGCAACGATCACGATCTCGTCTACCCCTATTGAGTTTTCCCGTGCCTTTTTTCCCTCCGACTTTCTCTTCGACTTCCGCCATTGTTCTTCGCGGCCGGCGCGGCGGCGGCGTCGCGGCACCTTTCATCGACGCCCTTTTGTTCGCCCGCCAATAACGCTACGATAACGAGTCAATCGTATCATGGAGAATCGAAAGGTGTCAGCTCGGGAATTGCATTGTCGGGAGTCGAGGAATCGATAGTCAGGTAAACCGCCTTCCCACCTTTTCTCCTCTTGTGACGCACGTATTGCAAACAATTTGCGCAATTTCATGTGATTAATTACAGATGCTTAAGACTCGACAAGTCTTTCATGAGATCCTAAACGAAAAATTTATAACAACCAAGTACGGGTGGTAAGTTCGGTGCGAGATGATCCAATTTATACTATTTAGAATATTTCCAAAAAATTGTTCTTAAAAATTGAGTATACGCCTCCTGTTATTTCATGTTATATCACGATCGCGTTACTTTTACGTTACGCTTTTCTACGGGATTAAAAACAAGGTGTAATTTTTCAGATATTAAATCCGGAGTATTGAAACGAATGTAGAATTAATTCTATAAACAGGAATTCTGTTTCAATACCAAACGCAGAATGTAACGTTCGCAAAAGGAAAATATTTATTTAAATAAATTCGTATATATATAAAAATGTCTAGGTACAAACGCGAACGCGCGTCCGTTTTCTGCGTTTATCATCTAGTGGAGGAGTATTCAGTTCGCCGCAAATACGCTTTCTGTTGTCAACTAGCGAAATAGCGCGAATAGTGTGAATAACGGTGATAATTTTGGCGGGAGAAATTAGTGAACGGGAGAGAGGGAGAGAGAGAAAACAGGAGGTGAAAGATGGAGTTCGCAAATGGCTACCATAAAAGCGTGCTAATGGAATAACGTTTATTCGCAAAAATAACTGCATGCTTTATCGGGATGCATTTCCTTTTCCCTTCACTCGACTTTCTCTTTTCGGTGCGATACGGGCGGATCACACTTTATAAATAATTTCTGTAATAAACGCAATTTGCGGACATGCACCACTGGTAATTGCTGCGAAGGCGCATCGCATTAATAATCGTAATAATGATAATAACAATAGCAGCCTCCGAGAGCAGAACTCGTAATTGTGGAGCTGTTAACAAATAAATTAAAAAAAATAATAACTAAATAATAGTGCAACTTTGAAATGAGATATTGGCACAATAATATCAAGAAATTAATATTAATATTAGAGAAAAGTAACGTTAAAAACTTGAACAAATCATTCGACTAAAATAATAGAATATAGATCTTAAATTAATTTGAATATAAAGCTGTGTTTATATTGTAATATACTCTCAAAATATTAAGTAGTAAACCGTAGATTAACAAATTTATTTTACATTTGTTGAAAAAATGCTTTAAAATAAAAAAAAATAATTATTTTCTTTTTTAATAAGTGATACTTTCTATATTTCTTAATTTATTATGTACGAACAATTTAAACTCTCATTATTAGTCCTTCCTATTATCATTGTAAAATTAAATTTTATTCAAACTAATTTCTTGTAATATTCATATTTTGATTTTACATTACTCTCGATTCATTCATAATTTTTCATTATCTTGTATATTTTGTATAACGTTTAAATACATTCGAACAATTGCCGCTGGCATGTAATATTTGCTAAATTTGTCAAATAGCAAACGATTTGATAAAAATGGAACAGGGGCAAATGTTGGTACGTGATCGACGAAAAGTCGTCAGCCGACAACGAACGAATAACTGAATAAATAAAAAAGAAAGAGTGAAATGTCAAACCTATAGGCATTTTAAATAACAAAGGGTCGGTGCCCGACATCCTAATTGCGGCGCCATTTTTTTTCGATACATGCGGCCGTTTAGGACGATGTTCCTTTTTACTCTGCAGCACGCGTGTTTCGGACGTGCCTCCGCTTTTCGATTTTCGTGCGTGATCGATTTTCGACCATTCCGCCAACTATTTTTCCAATGTGACGCGCCGTGACGCGTTGTGAAAACGTTTGGCGACGAACGCCGTTCACGCAATTCACAATCGTGGCCCCAATGAAAACGGTAAAAGTTCATAATTATTCTTCGACGTGATTTCCTGATCATTTTTCCTTTAATTACATTATGTGAAAAAGCGGATCGATGAGTAAAAGTGTGTGCGAGGTGAGCTTTGCATAATTCAAGCGTAAATAAATAAGAAAAAATAATTTTGCGCATGAACACCTATCGGCAATTTGTTTAATACCTTACACATATAAAGTGTCGTAGAACATAAGAATCAGTGGTGAAAAAATATTCGTTGACAGATAGTCGCGATTTCTTTCTACATATATGAATAAATAAAAATACGGAGAAGCGCGTTAAAACGTTTTCGTATATTTATTTATACAACCAAGTTTACTTTTGTAGTTAAACGTTTTTATTGCTGGCTAATTAACTTTCAGTATTCACACCGGCAAATGCGAAATGAAGGCAGCAATAGCGTTTGTTATCGGCGCCTTTACCTTTTATTTGTTTTCCCTGGAAGCTTTTCCGTTGTTTAACATCGCTGTTTATCAGACGGAAGGATTACATTGTAATATATTTGGGCGTTTTAAAGGCGAGGACGTAGGTGGATCAGCGAAATACCGTGGAATGAGAAACCATAACAAAATACGGCGAAAAAGATCACGGCGAAAAATACATGCAGAGCGGCGCACATTTAAATTATGTATATTTTATGTTTTCTCTCTCTCACTTCCTTTATTCCTTCTTTCTCCCAAATTACCACCTGACATTTGAATATCTGGGCAAAATTCATTAACACCGGTATTTTTGGATTCGAAAAAAAAATTCACGTAGGTATTAGAAAAAGTGGCGAATCTGCGTATCATCATATTGACGTTACGATCGAAGTAATTGGCAATCTCCCGTTAAAACGCAACCATTTTATCAAATGTTTCGCAGCGAAAAGTTTCGCCGTTTCGTCCTTTTTGCCACGAGAAATCGCACGTTTAAACTGCAGCTAATGGAGCATTTATTGACCGAAACGCTCCTCGTAGGACGAATTCGATTAAAGTTCGACGCGATTCGATTACCAGGAGATTCGTTTTGTCGGCTCTCTGCTGGCACCGTGTCTGAAAATCTTTGGAACCTCCGTCGGAAAACCTCGGAAAGTCACGCGGATATATTCATGCGATCGTAGAAATGTAATTTATGACGCCTGTGGCGTGTATAAAATCGATTATTGCAAAAACGTTGAAGATTGTACCGAGTCTTTTTGTGAAACAGTACACTTTCTGCAATAGGATCGACAAGTGATAGGAAAGTGTTATCAAGAGACTGATATTTTCTACTTTTATTGGGATTTCAACGATTTTTCTACCCCAGAAGTGACATTTTACAAAAAGAATTTATAGGTACATAAAATTAAAATATATATAAGAGGATTTTTTTACGAACATTTAAAAAAATTATTGTCATATAAAACAAACTTGTTCTTTTCTCTAAATTTTCATTCTATTTCAATGATACGAAATCCTGCGTTATTTATTTATTCACTTTTACACATCATTATAATTTAACGAATATAATGAGATATATTGAACCACGAAACTGAAATTTATATGATGCAAGTTAATGGAAAACGTTATTTAGTTCTCTTTTGAAGAACCCTGTAGTTCAAATTATACGCTCTGGTAATCGTCAATCGATTCGCCATTCGTGCCCAATCACCGCAATATATAGATTGCGAAATAACATTCGAATATTTCGGTCGACGCAAATTTGTGAATGTTTTTCACGCTTGCATTTCACCTTTTATATTGCGTGATCGTTAGTAAATATTGTATCAATTTAATTGTCACTTGCGCGCTGATACAAAATCATAAAATTAGACTTCCCCTCTGTCCCCTATAATATATGGTGTTAATTGCTTTAAATAAATAAATAATTATTACAGTATGCATTCCAATGAAGAAAAACTACGTAATATATAGAATAATATATAATTATAATAAGTTTATATAATAATATGTTATGTCGACTGTTTATCTAATGCAAATTGCTTTTATTATATGTTTCAGGGACTACTACTATGACAGGTGAATGTCTCGAAACTTTACTCCAATATGCAAGTATCATAGTATTAATTTACATTAACGCAATGCCACTCAATGATTGATATTAAAAAGATGTATATACCTATATATTGCAATTTGAAGCAGTACTTAACAATTAACTAGTGTAAGCGTCTCTGCCTTAACTTTTATCGAAAATTAGGCGTTTTTTCTGCATCCGCGATCCTTTCCCAACTGTTGTCTCAATTTTCAATAAAAAGCTTGAGGTTTTTAGCAATTATAGGCGAAACGCGTTTACGCTTCTTTGTCTCTGATCTTCTCTCAACACATATGCTCGGCTAATTCAATGTGAGTCGACAATAAGCAGCGCCAGACGGACGTACGCGTTTCGCGCGAGTTGCATGTCCAAAGCCCGCTATCGCGCGAATGTAAACGCATTCGAACAAAATAAGGGAAAAGGAACAAACGCGACACTATGGACCTCGGACCGTCGCACGGTGGTAGCTGTCGCAAAAAAAAAAAAAAAAGAAAGAAGAAAGGTTCGCCGTGCTCGGCGGAATGCGTCCCGTGGTGCATTCATATTTTGTCCTTTTTAATCGCGCGCGCTTCAGACGCGGAACGGTGCGGGCTTTTATTGCAGCGTCCACCGGCACGATGCGACACGGCCAGCGCGCTCCGCTCCGCTCGGCTCGGCGCGTTGCGTCGCGTCGCGCGTTCTTCATGCCGGTCACGGAGACGCCTCTGAATAGTCACAATTAAAACGAAAGCGAAGACGCAACGCGATGCCGCGCGTTGACGTTCGCGGGGTTGCGTTCCTCTCTTTCTCTTTAAGTTCCATTTGTCTTTTTTTTAACCCTCAACGGAGACCAAGTGGGATAGACGCAACGGTCGTTGATGCGCGCGTGCATTACTTTGCATCGAGAGACGCGGTGGGATCTCGATGGCGCATTTTGCAGAGTCGTTCGCTTATTGTTGCTCATTTAGTTGCGCCATATATGTCAATGAGCGAGAAAGAGAGAGAAATTCATTATAATTTTCAAGAGGGAATATCTAGGATACGAAGCACAGGACTATAATAATAGAAGGAGATTGACGCGCGGATGAGAAGAGAATTCATAATTCGGAATCTCAAATCTATCACGAGGACGCACCGCACGCATGGGACAATTCGATTAACACGTGGATACAGCGCAGCTATAATGTCCATACCTGGCGGATATTGGGTTAATTAGAGACGGCTGTCCCTCGAGATTCATCATCAAGTGACATCAGACACAATGAATTATTAGAATCAAGATTCGCGCGACTCGCTGTCGCCCGTGCTGCGACTTTTTTTATGATCAAATTATTGTCGCCGCGGTTTTTAATTCCGTGGCGAGCTCTTGGCGTTTTTACGCTACTAAAAATATTATAACCATTAAACGCATTCCTTAAAATAACAACTTTTACTTTTTGTAAAAAATAATGTTTTCAAAAATTTTTTTATTTGTAGCATTTCATGTCACATTCTATTTCATGTGTCACATTCTACGCAGTTGCTTAATTTTTACAAGACAAATGCATTAGCAAAAAGTATACAGACATTATATTTTTAATTTTAAAAAAGTTTTAACGTTAATAATATTTTATTTCTAATTAATAATATAGTGTGTAAATAAAATGTTTTAAATTAAATTTACACAAAGCCAATTATCGAAATATATAATATACATACCTATTATGCATTATTATATTTTTAATAAAATTCTTTGTCTCTAAATTATATTTTTCACTGTGTTTAATCTGTTAATTTAAATAATAAATTCTTATTAATTATTTAAAAATATTATCTATGATCATATCAGTTACAGAAAAATATAACTAAAAACAATTATTAACATCTTACCGGTATAATGTCTTCCGCTTTTGCATAATACATCGTTCATTACAAGTAATTATTATTACCAAAGGCGTGCCACCGTGGATTGGCTCGTAATTTGAACAAATGCAAAGTGTCATTCGGTCGAATGTGCACAAAAAGCTGCCGCTGGGCTAAATTAATAATTATTACTATTTACGGTTATATGAGCGTAATGAATAATTATGGATTATCAACTGAGAATAATAATTTGCGACTCATTGCGCACAAATGAGGTTAATTTCGTTGCGGTGGAATGTATCGGCATTTATTTATTTTCCTATATCTCTGCAATAAGCAAGAATGCACATCATCTCTATTAAAAAAAATATCTATTATTTATTACGTGACTTTTGTCTTTAAGACTGTATCTATTAATTATGTTAAATATATTTCACTCCTTCAATGCATTTTGAATTCTGATCTTTTATTAGCTTATTATTTTTTGTCGCATCAGAAAATTATCTAAATATACTTTTTTAAATCGGCATTTTTCCGAAGAAACACGACTCATCTCGTATGTACGCTCGTTTTATCGTATAACCGCCATAAATTGTCAATTTTATTTTTGACTTTACCAGTGGCGTTCCGTTATTGCAACATAAAGTTTGCAGGAGCATAGTATGAAGTTTGTATGGTATAGGGAAGGCGTTCAATAAGGAAGAAGGGGGAAATGTCAGTCCTAAATCTGGAGATGGCAATGGAGAACGAGAAGTACCGAAACTTACATCTCCTCGATTATTGGCAGTATCTTGATTAATACTATACTATATGTACAATTGAAACATTAGACAGAATTACATTTACAATTTCTAGATAGAATAATAATTATAGCAATTGAAAGATTTAATAATTAGCACGATGATCTCTGTGTATATTAATTTGTTCGCTAACAGGTCAGTATAAGATTTCGTTTCTCATAACAGTATACAATTTATAATAATAATGCACATAAATGAGAAATGTTTTACAGTAATTAATAACTCACGTAATGTGCTTGAAGATATAGGGACATATTTGTGATATGATATTATGCGAATTATAATGTCATATCAAGTAGCGCCATCAATGATAACGATACCCGAACAGTTAGTACCGAGATATACATAATATCGCCACTATTAACAAATACGAGCGTTATTAGTCGTATGTAATCAAACGATAGCAGCACGGGATACCATTATAATTGCCTATTAACAAACAGCAATAGACAATATATCGTGACAATATTAGTGTACACGTTGATCACATACATGTCGATTCAATACATGTATCCAGTATAACTAAAACATAAGTCCATCACTATAAAATTATTTAACTTATTTAAAGTTTATATTTTACATGTCTATATTGCTGTCCTTCTGATTCCATTATTCGTGAAATAACTATCTTCATTTTCACGTGCGCAGGAAACGAGAGGTACATAAATGTTAGAGGTCTAAATTTCAAACAAGTCGCATTGTATACAATTATTTTATATTTCTACAGCTATTTTTTTCGCATAATAAAACCTTTTTATTAAAATATAATATATATAATAATAAAAAAAATATATAAAATAGATGATATATGGCGAGATTACGAGAAGTGAAAACGATTAAAATCGCATTTCGCGAGATGATTAATCTGTGGAAAAAAGAGGGCGGGGTTAAAGGGTTGCGACTCTCGTTTGTCGTTCTTCCAAATTAGAGGATAGCCATGTAACGCGACGCCAAGTAGTCTGAAACTGGCTGTTAAACCAATGCAAATTAGCGGAAGACTCGCGTACCTCCGAGTTTGTCCCTTCTAATTACGCGGGAACCAGCGAGAAAGGCTTAGCCGGGTTCGCCGGGAATTAGTTGCCACCCGGTAGATGCGGATCGCGCGAAGAACAAGAACGCCGTTATACCTACGCGGTTTTGCGCCGAGCAATAATTGCACGTACAACTCGTGATCGATTTCGGCGATAAGATGCAGACGGGAGGTTATTTATGTCTTACAACGGTCTTGTTAAACTGATGATAAGCGAGAAGTGCATATACAATTGTTCTGTCGCTAAATTTCCAGCAATCTCGTTTTTGCGATGTACCACATTACACATATTGCGTGTAACTTTAATATGGAAATATACATTTATACGTGTATATTGTGTACGTGTACAAATGTATTAGAATTTAGAATGAATAAAATGGATCGCTTATAGCTTCACACATTAAACTTTTGTAACTTAAATGAAAACTGTTGAATATGGCTATTATATGGATATCAAAGGACACCTATATAAATAATATGCATACTTCGTAATATTCATAAATATTGAGCGGTTTTTAATTGCACTGTAAATTACAAAAGTTTGTCTTTAAAGTCAAATCATTAAGAAGCTTGGGGATTAACTTCCGATATTCCTTTGACGAAAGAAATTCTTTCATTGCGAAATAACGAGTGTATGTTATTTCTGTGAAAGTATTAATTAAAAACATTATTTTTTCTCGTGACACAAGTTCTTAGCGTGGAATATGCATTGAATTATTATAAATAAAAATTATTCATAGCTTTTTGAGATTACATAGAGTTTGTTGAATCATTCTTTATGATAACAATGTTATAGTTTCAAGATTGGCATCGAATTTATTTATGCACAACACAACAACGCGCACGTTATGCCATTGTTTTCATAATTCAAGTTTTAAGAGATATCTTTTATAATATGCATATATAAAAAAGATTATATCACTCACACATTTTTATTACATTCATAATACATATATATTATATATTATACATTATATATATTATGTTTTTAATTACTCAAAGTTTTCAACAGTAAATTAAACAATATTTACTTATAATAGATATTATATTGTTCCTTTTATTTTGGTATTATAATTTTTACAATTCAATTTATTGATTTTTCACTTTCCAATTGATTTTATTTCTTAGCTTATACAGTTAGACTATAAATCGTTACAATTTAAAGCGTCTATTGTGAATGGAATACAAAGAGACACGCGCGCGCACACTCACACATATCCACACATGTTCAAAGCTCAAAATAGAACTTACTATTATCGAAACGTCATTGATGAGATCGATTTACTTGCACATTTGATATTTTATTGTGCGACAGAAATTATTGCGACAAAAAGAA